ACGGTTCATTTTTAATACTGAAATTTGACATTTTTTTCACTTAAATTTCTACAGCTTAATTTTCATTATTTTTTGACATTTTAAATTTATTTCCCACACTTTAAGACATGAGTAAAATGATGGTAATAACCATTTTGCATAAAAACCAAAGACTGTTATTGAATACTGTGTTGGACATGTTTTTTTTAATGTTTTTTGATTGGTTTTTACCGGCTGGATTTTAATCATTTTTCAAAATTTAAAATTCATTTCCTACATTTAAAGATGTGTAGAATTGAATGGTGAATTCCAATTTCCATAAAAATACAAGCTTCAATTATAATACGTGAGTGTACCCCGTTTCTTGCATAATTGGTTCTGTATACAAATTGTATTTGAATGCAAAATGGATACAGCCATCAATTTTGAAACCTTTCAAAGTGTAGGAAATGAGCTTAAAATTTCAAAAAATAGGGGTAATTAAGCGTGTAAGAATTAATTCAAAAAATACGTCAAAGGCAGTATTCAAGATACAGTTTTTATTTTGATGCAAATTGATTGTTTCCATCATGTTTACCATGTCTGAAAGTGTAGGAAACAAATTTAAAATGTCAAAAAATAATGAAAATTAAGCTGTTAAAAATCAATTGAAACATATGACTAATTATAGTATTCAGAATGAACCATTGAGTTTTATGGAAATTGAATATTACCATTAAATTCTACACACTTTTAAATGTAGGAAAAAACTTTAAAATTTCAAAAAAGAATAGAAAATAAGGTACACACATGTATGCAAACAATTAAGTGAAAACGTGAAGGATTAATTAAAAAAAATGTGTCAAATGCAGCAATCAAGTTATAGTTTTCATTTTGGGGAAAAATGGTTGTTACCATAATTTTTTACATGTCTCAAAGTGCAGGAGAAAATTTTAAAACGTCAAAAAATAATGAAAATTAACCTGTAGAAATTTAAGTGAAAAAAAATGTCAAATTTCAGTATTAAAAATGAACCGTTGAGTTTTGAAAAATTTGTATTACACCATTAAATTCTAAACACATTGAAACCTAGGAAATAAATTTAAAATTTCAAAAAAGCATAAAAAATGAGGTAGAAACATGTATGTAAACAATTAATTGAAAAATAAGTGGAAAAAAAAATTAATAATCAAAAGTCATTTTATTTGAAAATGGACTTCACCATTAAATTCTACCCAATTTTTCACCTAGGAAAAAATTTTAAAAACTTAAAAAAAATTAAAATTAATGGCAAAAATAAATAAATTAAAAATGCAGGTTTAAACACGGATTGCGCGTGTGCTGTGCCGCAGCAAAAGCGCGTCAAAACGTGTAAAATGCGGGTTTTTTTATTAAGGCCCAAAAAAAAAGTTTTTATTTTTTTCAACTTTTTCTTCTTTTATCATTCCTCTCAGCCCCTCAACAATCCCCCCACCTTTGTCTCATATTTTTCCTGGACTTATTAAAAAATTTAAAAATTGCAGGTTTTTTTTTTAATTGTAAATTTTTTTTTCCTGCAATGAAACAAAACTTTCCCCACAGTGAGTTTCCCAGCCCCTCAATGTCCCACATTCCAAAAAAAAACTTTGAAAAATCTTCAGATTCACCCCCAAAATTCAGTGTTTGGGGGTTCCATTTTTTCTGTCAACCCACTGTACACCGCAACGGCCAATGAGAGTGTACCCTCAACGGCCAAGAGAATTTCTCTCCGCCGTTGAGGTGTGTACACCTTTACGGCCGAGGTGGCTTTCATCGGCCATTGATAGTGTTTACCCTCGACAGCCAAGAGGATTCCTCTTGGCCATCAAGTTGTACACTCTTGCGGCCAAGGGGTAAGCTCCCCTCCCGGCTGTTGAGAGTGTATCTCAGCAGCCTGGAGGATTCCCCCCGGCCGCTGCCGTGGGGGTTGTTTGGTTCATTGACCCCCAAACCCTGGTCGGTTTGGGAGGATCAAGTCTCGGACCAACCGGGGGTTTTCTTTTTTTTTTTTGTAATATTTTTTTAGGGAGTCGACTCCCAAACCAGTCAATGGTTTTGGGGGTTTGACTCCCATTTTTGGGGGAATCCGGGGCTTGGGAGTTGGCTCTCCAGTTTTTGGGAGTTGTTTGACTAAGCCCCTTCTTTTTTTGGCCCCACTCTTTCCTGGACCTGCTCCCTGTTGGGATAATGTACAGCAGCTAACCTATTAATCATCACAACCAACTCCAAAAAAAAAAGTTAGACTTTGGCTGATTGGGCAGTCTCAACTGGTTGGTGGTCTGCAGGACTGTGATGAAAAACAGGATAGATTACTGTGAGTTGAGCCACAACTAAATAGAAACATTAGAAAATTTTCAAAAGTGTTTGATTGACAATCAAAGATAGAAAATGGTCAAGCATACCAAAAGCAGAGTAATCTGGATTCTGGAAAGAATAGTGACAAGCTGAAGCAGAGAATATCAAACAAGGATAGATAGTACAGTCGTCTCCCTTTTAATCCATGACTTATTGACCCATAACCCCTTGTAGCCCATAGGAAATTGGGTCCACCAAAATTGCCAAAGTGCTGAAAAACTCCACTTATTAACCCATACACCCCTGTGAACCATAGCAAAATGTGTCCACCAAGGGGTATGGGTAAATGGAGAGCTGACTGTACACACTGAGACAAAAAGTGATGAGAAAAAGATAGAGTAATCAATGGGTCTTTTGAGAGATGAGAGAGCAAAGAGATCAAGTTGTTTGTTTTTCTCACCAAATTGCTAATAACTGATTGAAGGTTTCAAGAGTTGAGGAGGTAGTTTGATGGTTTGATATGATAGTTGATACAAAACTGAGATTGATGAGAGTGTAGAATCAACAATGAAACAATGTGCTGCAATGTGGTAAATAGCCATGTATTGGGATCACATTTTTTTAGCAATGTAGATTATCTAAATACCAATGCATCGACATATCAAAAAATCAATGCATTGCATCAGCATTGTATTAGAAAGCAATGCAAACCAGTGCCACCAAATTATAGTGCATCACTTTGCTGTTGCAATACCAATGCTCTGTATTGAAGAATCAAATGCAAGTGATGCAATTTGGAGCCCCCCATCTCTCTCTTGATGTGATGTGATGTGATACAGGCCCAATACGATGTGATGCCTATGCATGCATTGCATTAGTTAAATTGTTGGTAGAATAAGAGAGAAGAGAGATAGAAGGAAAAAAATAGAACAGGGAATCATGCAAATTCAAAGTGTAAGGGATAGTTGAGAAGGCTTGGGAAGGATTGATTGAAGAATGTTGGGATGGGGTGAGTTGGTTGAAATTGAGAGATTGATCGGAAGCGGTTGGTGGTAGTGGCAGCAGAAAAGGGCAAGGATCCAGATTTTAAAATGGGTAGGTAAGTGAGAGTGTGAAGTTGGTAGATGAGTGAGCTTCTGGGAGAGAAAAAAAGAAAGTGTAATGAAGAGTGGGAGAGTGGTTGTTTTTATATGCATGACAGAATGTTTGAGTTGTGGTTTGATGAGGGTCAGGTTAGGTTTTTGGAGAGCGGGTGAGAAGGAGATCCCAAGATGTAAGCAGAGAGAGATAGAGAGAGAAGGTTAGGAGAGTGGAGGTGCATGTTTCAAAACACTTCCCACAGGTGGGGCTGAGGATGGAGTGGTTTGGTGTTGAAAAGGAATTGTGCAATAAAAAAAAGTTTGGAAAGGCACAAGCTTCTCCAACACTCCGCTGTGGGACCCTGGCAGGGAAAACTTGGGCCAGTTTATGTGCATAGCCAAAGTTACAGTCACACTGGCTCAATAACTCAATGTGAACATATCTGGGACCCCATTTAGCCGTAGAAGAATACTGTAGAACATTTTTCCCAAGTTGGGTGTAGTTGTGGTAGGATTTGTATCAAGTAATTCAAAAGCACCTTCTACCCAAGGATCTTCTTCTTAAGTTTGACTTGTGCTTACATAATACATGAATCCAGAAAATCATTTGAATTAGTGTTGCTCACAGGGGAAGGAAAACTGTTGTAGAAGATACAAGAGATAAAGAGTTTTTTTTTCTAGAGAAGAAGTGAATCAAGTTGCAGTAATAGGGAATCCTGGTCATCCAGTTCACAGAAAAAAAACAAACACACTTGAAACTCAAAAAAAAAGGGATCAATTATGTGGACAAAAAGGGAATGACTGATGGTAATACTTCATGTTGTGCCTTCTTACACTTTAGTGAAAGCCAATGAGTCCAAAGCTCTGGCCATTGTTTTGGGGGCCACATCTTTCACTTCTCCAAAGGCAGGCAGCAGATGACAATCAATAGGATAGCAGCGATGTAGCTCCAAGTGCACTTGTCCCCAAGTCCATTACGAATATAAGGTCACAATCTTGATCTTGAAGTTTGGATCAATGGTTATGGATAGGCTTTGTGTTGTTGATAATTGAAACGCATCACATTGTTTTCTCAAAGAAACCAACTCAGGCCAACTTGTTTTTTCCGCTTGTATCGACCTGAAAAATCCTTCTCCTGGACTTGTGCAGAACGAACGGATGAAAGTAATCGAGGCCAGCAGCGACTGAAGTGCCGGAGAGAACAGGTAAGACCGTAAGTGGAGGGCTCGGTCCGGTGTTTTCACGAAGCTTGCTGCAAAGATTTCGAGCATATGTACACTAGTGCTGTGTGGTGCTCTTTCTTGATCCACGCAGAAGCGTGTTGCGGATGGTGTGTGATCTTCAGGAGGGATGCTTTATTTAAAGACATAGACGCTGCATGTTTATGTAAGAAACATGTGCAGGATTTTTCCGAGCTTGATGACTTCAGACTCCGGCAGCATCGCCTCTTGAGTCTCTTGAGAGAGCAAGATCTGCATGGACCGGATGTGTGTGTTTTGAAGAACTGCCAAGCCGGCTCGGCCGAGCTCTCTTCACTCTTGAATGGTCCTTGATTCAGATCTACTGTGTTTCTGGGAACGGAACGATGGGGAAGATGGCGAGCATTTCATCGATGGTTTTCACCTAGGGTGATTAACTGATCTTATAACAATGCCAAGCGGATCTCATGTTAAAGGTCCGTCGAAGGTTTATTATTGTAGATGGCTGTTCAAGAGAGAGAGAGAGAGAGAGAGAGGCTGGGCAGTTCGAGCTGTGGGCAATTCTTCATCGAGCGATCTATTTAAATAGTATTCTCCCACCCTCGGAGATACCAGCAGTGGGGTCTAAAACATAAAACTGTAGTACTGGGGACTTGGAGCCTCAACTCAGCGGGGTGGAGAGTGTGTATGAAGTTACCGGATTCTGATCAATCACCCCCCAATACATACAAAAACAGCAGACTTCTTCAAGGAAAACACACCAGCTTTGTCACCGTCGCACCCAGAAGGAAGCAAGCCGTTGAGTCTCACTCCAGTCCCCTCCATCATATTCGAACTTTTCCACCGTCGGCCTTCAGCCAGGCTCTCTTTTAAAAACACGTCACATCTCGCCTGGGCTCTCTCCATTGGTCAGAAGGCTTGCTGGTTCCGTCGTAAGTAACTGACCAAGCCTAAGACCATCTAAGAGCGTCGTTGTAAGACTGACCGCTAATTATGTACTTTGCTTCTCCCCTTTCCAGAACTGCACTCGTTGACATCACCTGAACTCACCAGCTTCTTTGCCACTCTCGAGCCTTGGTCCGCCCAGCCTCCTTTGTACCAGCCCACCCAGCTCAACCACGCTTGTCTCTTCCTCTTATATATATTTAACCAACCTCCCTCTCCTTCTTCTTCCTCTTCCCCATCATCATCATCACCCACTCACTCAAACCCACTCAATAATCTTCCTCAACCACCCCTCGTTACACAACACCCCCATCACAGTCACTACGACATGGCCCCTCCAACACGTTCAATCAGTCCCGATTCCTTACAATCCTCAATCAGCAGTGGGACCTGCCACAGCTTCGGCGACCCCTCCGCCAGCTCGCCGATCCATCCCACCCTCTTCATCCGTGACCCGCGCAGGAAGAACCCCCGCAACGCCCATCAGCGCCATCAACTCACCGAGAGCGACTTCGGATTCCGTTCCCCCTCGAGCCTGTCCACTAAGCTCCGCAGACTGCTCTCCTCCCCCGCCAAGGCCATCTTCAATAAACAGGTCCTTCAGCATCCTCAGTCTCCTTCTTCAACTACCTCCCCCGCACTGCCTTCTTGTCTCCCTTCGTCTCCTCTCTCTCCTACCCCTCATAGAAAATTCATCACCGATGACTCCTTTGATCATCAAATTCTCAAAAAATGAAGATCTACAATCTCATCATCCCTTTAAATGGTCTGTCTCTTCTCCTTCCTTGGCTGCTCCTTCCACTCACATTACTGACGAACTCTTGTGTCTTTCTCCCAACAGCTTATTATCAAACCCTCACTCATTTTCCTCCTTGGCTCCCCTCCTCTTTCTCACCTCACCTAATCGTTTTTCTTTTTTTTTTTCCCTCGCACTATTCTCATGACTCTTTTCGCGATTCTTCGGTCCCCTTTTTCTTCTTTAATTTTCATCCTCATATTATGCCCCACATACATCCAACCTATATATGCTCAAACCCTATCGAAAGAAAACGAAAAAAAACAACAACATCGTTGGTTCTTATTCTTTACCACTTCATGTACTCGCATCATCTAGCGCCTTTCAAACACTCTCTTCCCGGGGTTTTTTTCCCAATTGTACTCTTATCTCCCCTTTTTCAGACTTTCATCTCTCCACATTCCAGAACAAGCTCTTGGTCGGGTTTTTTCTCTTTGTGTGTAGAACGTGTCGACGACATTGATCACCGCTTCACTTACTCTTTTTTTTGGTGGTTTTCGTTTTTTTTTTTTTTTGTATGTTTCTCAATTGGACAGACAGAGGTGTGTTTTCTTACTTTTGTATAATCATAGAGAACCACATTTTTTTTTTTTGTGTCTTGAATATTGTTGTTGAAGACAAAAATTACATACTTATGTACGAAAACGTGTTTAGTGTTTGTTTGTGGGCTTGAGCAAGCTGTACTAAGTGTTGACTGGGAGCCTTGTTCTCATCTCCACCAGACCGGAGCCCAAGAGGCAAGTGGCCGACAGCCAGATCTGCTTTATCTAACTAGATCTCCCCCGATGCTTCAATGTGCAAATGCGGATAGATAGATGGCCCTTGGTTCCTCCATTCGAAGAGCTTCATCACTCCATATCCTTGTAATCTAGTTTTCAACATCAGGTAGCTAATTGGCTCGGGCTGTGCAGCGTTCATCAGAAGTTTCTGAGCAGCCCTTATTTGGGTAGCTACGTAGCACTGAGTCTACTATAACTGGCCCTTTTCAGTATAAGTAAAGTTTGCTCAAATTTCTATTTACATGCGTTTTCCACCCAGCTTGGTATAGTACATATAGGCCACTTTTTGAGGTTGCAAAATTCAAACATGTTGTAAGGGCCTTGGCTTTATCAACCAGGCAGTGTATCTATCAACACCAGAGAGCCTTTCTGTGGTCAAGAGAGTCTCTCATGACATAAGTAGCTGTAGATGTTTTTAGCAGCATCCAGGGCAGTTCATAGTAGAGTAAATCACCCCAAGGAATTTCCGGCTCTCCTCAGTTATTGTAAAGGGCTCTGAAAATCAGACTATAACCTCACCCTTTAATAGTAAGGTTGGGAATATATATATTGTAACATACTATTAAAGTATAGACCCAGTGTTGGTAGCTATCCACCCAATTTTGATATAGAAAGAAGCATGAAACATGAACTGTGCACTAAAAAACATGCTAATTAGGAAAAAAAAAGACAAACAACAAACAAAATTTTGACAAATATATACATAGATGCCAATGATGAACATTGAAATAGATGTATATTTGCTTGTTTGTATATGAAGAGATAGGTAAGAAGTTGTTGCCAAGAGAAAAAAAAATATCCTAATTGGAAAGAGAAAAAAAACCTGAAGAAAACCCAAGATTTTTGAATATTGTACTGAATTATAATCTTACTCATGAAGACTCAAAGAATCTTAGATATTGTTAAGATTATTAAGCTTCTATATAGAAAGAAGCATAAAACATGAACTGTGAATTCAGTGCTGGAACAAAATGAGGGAGAACAGATACTTATCATCAAAAACCAAACCAGAAACATAAACTGAAAAAAATAAACAAGCAAATTAGGAAAAAAAAAACACAGAAAAACAACAAACAGAATTTTGACAAATATATAGATGCCAATGATGAACATTGAAATAGATGTATATTTGCTTGTTTGTATATGAAGAGATAGGTAGGAAGTTGTTGCTAAGAGAAAAAAAAACAGATATTCTGATTGGAAAGAGAAAAAAAAAACCTGAAGAAAATCTAAGGTTGATGAATATTGTTTTGAATTATAATCTTAATTAAAGATGGCACTTGGGAACCGGGTACCTGCCACGGGTACGGGTACTTGTCCCTTTTTTGGCCTGAAATGGATACCGGATACCACACCCGTACCGCTGGGGCGGGTACCGGCAGGTACTTGGCAGGTATACCGGCGGTACTTGCACTCAGCAGAAAAGTGCTGTTTTAATGATTTTGATAATTTAATTTCATTGGGGTCCCAAGACCCCACACCTCAGTCATCATCCAAATGTATTACAGTTTCTTTCTTCTTCCCCTTTGACTTTTGCTTCTTCTCCTCCTGTATTCCCTCCTTCCACTTGGACAAAACTCCTTCTTTAATCAGACCGTTCTTCGAATAGAAAGCCACCGTCATCCCCCTGCTCAATGACCTAGCAGATAGCCTGTGCCTCTTGGTCGAGACATAATCACGGCCAAAACTAAAGGCCCGTTCAACATCAACCGATGTTGCTGCATAGTTTATGGGTATAGAGTCAGTGTGTGCCAATAGAAGGGTGATTGAGCAGAATCAAAACTCACCAGGACAGCTAAGGACATCCAGAGCCATATTTACCAGGCCTCCGTGGGTGTTTCCAGCTCGCTTTTGTTGGATCCACCATTTTAACGGATCGATCGGTTCGTTGTTGTCCAAGATGAGTCCCCCCGCCAGCCACACCTCCAAAGGGTCTGAGGAGCAATGACCACCTCGGGCAGCAGCCGCGCTGCTAAGGCCAGCCAGCATGCTAGTCTTGGCCTTTGTAGATATAGATGTCAGTGTCAAATCGCCGTTGAATTTATTAGAGTGAACGATTCACCTTAGAGCTCGTAGTAGCTAATGATGAGTTCATCGGAGCTGATGCTTGAGGCTTATAAAATGTCAACCACATCTCCCGAGTAAGCCTTATAGCCTCAAAAATCCACTCCGGCTCCCATTGGGCTAGCTTGAAATATTCATCCCTAAATGATGGGTGGAGAACTGATAAAACTATATGCATTAGTACAATCAAAGATTGATTTAGCATCCAAAAAAAGAACGTACCAATGGCTATCCTATAAAGGGGTGAGCAGTCTGTTAAGCTGTAGTACTTATTGGTTATCTTTAAACCTATCCGACAGGCATTTTTCAGAGCTGGTGGGTACTTGGAGCCACTGATTACTGTTGACAAATGCTCGGTGATTTGATCAATGAAGACGACAATGTTAGCTAGGCGAGCCGAGCCCGATATCGATAACTGAAGAGTGATCTCGTAGAATATGTTGAGAAGGTCGGCCAAATCTCGTGCCAATGCAATGTCTGACTCGTCCAAGTAGTGTTTCCTCTCAATCCCATGTCGTTTGTGACGTTGCCACACAAGGCTGGGATTCAGATAACCAACCAGGCTGTGAGTAAGGGGCAAAGTAGAGAGATGAAGCAGGATCACTTACATGGCCGCCTCACATCGGACGATACTGTTGACTTGGGTGTGGGTTGAATTCCATCGAGTTCGTACGTCTCGTTTGACATTATGAGGAGTAAGAACTCCCTTTTCGCGACAGATCTCAACGAATTCGGCTTTGGAGTTGGGGGAATACTTCAATTTCTTGGCGATTGCGCGGAACTGGGGATTGAAAAAATGATCAGTTACAATTCGGTTGGACAAAAGCTTGTTGCTTACTTTAGCCAAACTTGTTTTGCAAGTTTTGGTGGTATAACGATTGTCTTCCCCCTCTTCGCTAGCCTGTTCGATATCATCAAGGTCAAGTGATTCCAAGTCTTCTCGATCTTCTTGCTCCAGACTTTCAGCCTCACTTGATTGGTCTCCTTCACTGGAGGAGTCTTCAAACTTGTGGGTGGAGCTAGATGAGATGAGCAGATGAATAAGGTGGCCGTTCAACAGAAAATTGAAGATTACATGAATATCAACGGTTCCTTACGTTACAACGTTGTCTGCCGGGGAATCGTTGTCTGAATCCGAGTTATCTGAGGCATTCACAGGTGTTTGCGGCTGTTTATTGGAATCCTTTTCTTGCTTTTGAGTTCCAAACGGTCGGAGAATCCCTTGAACGATTAAGTTGAGGACATGTGCAAAACGTCGTAGCCACTGTTGTTCGCCTTTGAAGCGGGCCCACTTCTGCTTCTTCAACTCACTAACCATGACCTTGTTATTTGAGGCATTGTCGCTGACAATGCCACATATCTGAATGAAAGTAGATCGGTTGGTCAGCACGGGTGTGTGATAAAGAAACCAAGCAATAAAAAATACCTTATGCTGAATATTGAACTTCTCCACAACAGCGGCAACCGTCTCCGCTAAGTACTTCCCAGTATGGCTTTGAGAAAGTCGAATAAAGTCTAGAGGCATAGCCTCTAGCTTTATATCCCCAGGGCTTCTATCAACTAGTCGATATATGACTATTCCAAGGATATCAAATCCGTTTGGCGATTGCCAAGCATCCACACCTAGATACAAGGCACCTTTGTGTTCCTATAAATGGGGGAAAATTAAGAAAACAAAGCATTGATCAGTAAATCAATACTTTCATTAGTCATCTGAGCCATCCCCACCGCAAGATCCCTCTTGTAGCCCTGTTGTATTGCTGAGTAAAGTTGGTGGATGTCCTTCGAAACCGTGCGTCTTGTTGGTAAATTCTTGATGACGGTAGGGTGAAGGATGGCCTGATGGCTGGATTCAACTAGGGCGGAAAATGGCCTGGCCGCCTCGGCACACCATATAGCGCAGCGTTGCGGCACCTAGAAACAAGAAAATTTACCTATAGCTTCCAAATTCCTAACTAAATATTTGCTTACCTCTTTGGGATCCATGTCGCCAGTCCCGGTAACCCCGACCGATGCAAGAGTCTGATTGGTATCTAATTGGTTTTGTTTCCGGATGCATCCCGCACGGTGCTTGTTCAGGTTGCCGCAAGAGGAGTC